CATCACAACGGATTTCACGTACTGCTCTCTGGACATTCTTGTAAGGCAACGGCGGGCTCTCCAGAGTGCTCCCACCTTCTGCGAGGCCTTCTTCACAGCATTGTTAACGTGTTCGTCAAATCGAACGTGCTCGTCTATCGTGATGCCCAGGTACTTCGCATGGGGAACTGCTGGTAGCGGGTTTCCACGGCATTTGACAGTAATGTCTTGGCCGGAAATTCGCAGGACATGGCTTTTGCTAGTGTTCAGGATTAGATTCCGTTCCTGGAGGTGGTTAGCAATCTCGGTTGTAGACATTGTTAGAACTCGCGATACTCCCTGGCAATCAGGGTGGCTGAACGTAAGAGCAATATCGTCAGCAAACTGCACTGAGATGGACGGACTGGCAATGGTGGGCACATGCCTGGTGTAGATGTTGAAAAGTACGGGTCCGAGAACGGAACCCTGCGGGACGCCACATGAGCATGTGCCACTGACACCAATGGATCCAGCGATTTGCACTTGTTGGGTGCGTCCTTCGAGATAGTCTGCAAACCATTGGAGTGCAGTGCCGTGAAGGCCAACTTCGAAAAGATCGCGTACAAGAATGTCATGCTTGACTTTGTCGAAAGCCTTCGACATGTCCAGCAAACAAACACCACTGGCTAGTCGCGCGTCCTTTGCATGGAGAATGTTCTCCGTCAGGAGTACCAAAGCGTCTTCAGTGCAGTGGTTTGTGCGGTATGCAAATTGCGTGGTCGGCAGCACGTCGTTTGCCGCGAGGAACCTTGTAAGCTGGCGATGTACTACCTTTTCAAGCAGTTTCGCAACAATTGGTAATAATGACACAGGTCTGTAGTTAGTGGCGACTGTTGGGTCCCCTGCTTTGTAAAGCGGCTTTACCAGGGCGTGTTTGAACGGCTTCGGTAGGCGACCGGAATGCAAGGAGGCATTGAAGAGGTCGCATAAGTGCGGGGCAACAATATCACTGCAGGCTCGCAGCAGACGGCCAGGGATCTCGTCACTGCCTGTAGCCTTGTCAGGATCGATTGTGGCGAGTAATCGCTGTACTGCGGGACAGGTCGTTGGCGTGAGAGCTGATAGTGAGGTGCGGGTGCAGGGACCATGGGGTATCTGTAGGGTGTCCGGACGACTTGGATCAGTCACAATACTATTGAAGGAGCTGCTCACCGCAGAAACGTCGCACACTGGGTCCTGCCTTGCCTTGGAGCGGCCGGTTACCGCGTTTAAGGTTGACCACATTCTCCTTGGATCATGAGAGTGCTGCTCACATTGTCTGGTGAAAAAAGCGTTTCTTTTCTTGCGGATTGCGTTGGATGCCTGAGACCGGGCTGTTTTATACCGGGAGAGTAGGATGTCATTTCCTCTATCTCCTAACCTCACAATAATCACACACATAATGAAAAGCTACATGTAGAAGACCTTTTCCCCTCGTGATCCTCTTTCCTATGCATGCATATTGCCAATTGTTGGTGCAGTACAAGTTTAGTGTTGAAAGCAGCATTTCAAGTGTTGTGATTATTGTGAGGTTTTGTGTGAAATTTTAATTTTCGGCTATCACATTTCGTTAATTTCTTACTTTTTAGACGGGGTCCGTCCATGGACTAGAACACAATAACTTTTTTTAGAAAACTGCCATAAAGCAGTTTTTATTGCTATAATATGCATTGTGGCCAGCCGTCTTTGATTGCACGGTACGGTAGGGGATAGGTACGGGACAGGTACGATCGAGGGTAATACGACACCGTCTAGCTGCCCGCAATTTTTTTTTTTTTTTTTTTTTTTACTACGTTCACATAACCAGCTCGAAAAGAATAAGGAAAGACAATGGTACGGAGACTAGGACAAACGTGACAACTAATGAGCAGGCGCTACACCGAGACGCAGCAGTGATGGTGGGGCATTGATGACTCTGCCGACCTGAGGTCTCGGCGTCACGGCCAAAAACACGCACCAAAAACAATGAAAAAAGAAGAAGATAGAGCTGTACAGGTGAGAAAGATGCAAAAACCCAAGGCTTAACACGAGCGATTGTGGGGGAGAAACTGTCTTAGCGTCATACTATTCATAGGGAATCGACTGCCCAGAGCCAGTTTGTGCTGCGAAGATGGCGGTAAACATTCGTTTTGAATGATTGCATTCTCTTGCTGTGGGGAGGCTGGGATAGGAGAGCGGCAGGGAGGGAGTTCCAATCGCTGATGCTGCAGTGTGGGAACGAGCGCTTCAGTGCCAGCGGGGCAGATGCAGGCAGCTGGTGTTGGAGCTGGTGGTCATGTCCACTGACAGCACCGTGCTCGCTGCGAGTTCTGGGGTTGGTAGAGATGATGTGGCGCGGTGGCAACACAGAGAGCATATATTCAAATAGGGCTTTCAAACGCAAGATAATAGCGTGAAGCAACTTGGAAGAATGGGTATGGATGCGAAGTGTATGGGGGAATGCATGTAGGGCGATAGTGCGGGTTCGAATCCCAGGATATGCCTTAAAAAAATAGGAGAATTGAAAAATTTATAACATCCTATGCTTTTTGCCGTCAGATACGGATAGCGCCAGGCGTGACACAAACACACAAACAAATACCAAATTAAAGCTGTGTGGACCCTGGCTAGCGCCAGACATTACTGAAGTAACGTCTTCTGCATAGCTACGGGAATAAAATCATTCTCTTTGGTCACAACTTCTTCGTTGTCCGGTTCGCCAAAGTAGCCGTCGTCTAGGGCCCGACGTAACACCCTAAATTGGTGACCCCTGACGCTGCGCTCTTCGGAGTTTTGAGCATGCCATCCCTGAGGTCGGCCCGCCGCAGTTTCCTGCTCGCCTCGACTCTCGGGAACCCGTCAATCGCCGGCTGTTGACATAAAACTTGAGCCTCACCACCACTCGTCACTGGATCTGCCTCGGAGCTGCTGTGGCCCCTGCCACCCTCCCCGGCCCACCTAGATACCCCGCTATCCAGCCACGGCATCGTCTAGTCGTCGTCGTCCGTATTCGTCCTGGCCTCAAGCTGGAAATTGGCCACCTCCATCATCGTACCAGCTAACTCTCGTGCACGCACGCAGGCACACGCCCGGCTTATCGGATTTCTTGGAGCTGCGCTTGCCTCCATCCATCCCCACTTCACTCGGCACGCCTCGTCCCAGTGTAGTGTTTCTGCTGGTCCCATGCAAAGCCTGCAACATGCAGCCGCCTCTGACACGATAACACTTCTCCTCTGTCATGCGTACGTTTCCTCTTTTCTGTCTTTCTGCCTCTGACATGCTCTCCACCTCTGTCACGATAACACACCTCTGACACGTTAACTCGCCTCTGTCATGCATCTCTCTATTTCCTGCTTTTCTGATTTTTGTTTCGGCATTTGTGCCACGTTGTTTAACAAATTTCACACACGCAGCGCTCTCGCTTGTACATATGTATCATATTATTATATTTTTGCCTTTCCGCCTTGTACATGCTGCGCTTCCTTTCTCTTCCCTTTCTTTTTTTTGTTGATCGTGCTTCGCTCCTCCCGACCTCACCACTGGCGGGGGAGTACTGTAGCGACCTGACTCACTGAGTATTACGTCATTCTACAAACGCATGCGCAAGAAATAAAATCATTCTCTTTGGTCACAACTTCTTCGTTGTCCGGTTCGCCAAAGTAGCCGTCGTCTAGGGCCCGACGTGAAACCCTAAAGCGATTTTGGTCCGATTTTTAGCGAAACAAAGTGCGGCTTATACCCCGGAAAATACGGTACTTTTCATAATGCAAAAGGTCTATTGCTGACACGACGTTGCGGAGGGATGAGCTTTCCTGCACAGGTGTGAGTTTAGATGTCCATTGTATTTCAGCATGGTGGAGTGGAAAAATTCAAATTGTTTTTTCAAGAAAACGCAAATAGCAGGATGGGCTACATGTCCTCAGTGATAGAAGAGGTGTTCTGCTATCTTGTTGTTTTGTTGTTGTTTGTTTATTTAGAGTCGAAGACCATACAGGCAAAATTTGCCTAATTCCATGATATCGACTAAAAAGGAGAATGAAGTATTAAAGACTATCTGCCGATGAATAGTTCTTCCTATATGAGGACGTAGCTCTCCATTTTGTCCGCCCTTCAAAATTGGCTCTTTTAAAGACGATCATTCGTGGCCTCAGGGTGTGATGGCCCTCATCTTCTGCGATGCTTGCTTGGCTAAGCGGAGCTGCCCCAGTTATGTATTTTTCTAAATTGAGTAAATATTGGATTGATGGAGATTTATTCGTAGCTTGGTCCTATACGCTGTGGCATGTCTCGTTTGCAGACCCATAAATCATATGATGTTTTGACCAATGTTTAGGGGTATGTCCATTTCAAGGTTACCTTCGGACACCTTTTCTAAGGATTTGAACAGTCGATCTACCCCCCCCCCCCTTCCCAAGGAAACGTACCTGCTAAATTTGAGAGATCCACTTGCACACATTGTCTGGTCGTCTAAAACATGGTCTCTTAAAAGTCAACAAACGCTTCGCACAAATCTACGATCGGAATGAATTTTCCAGATCGATAGTTAAGATAGAATAAGAATATTAACTTCAGATAATAATACATGAGAATTAGACCATGGAACAGAACGCAATTACAGAACTACATAATCCATATCAGATTGCGATTCTAGACTATCATAGTCTATATCGTGTGTGGCAAGGACCAGACTTGTGTGATTAGCATCAAAGAGTGATTTCTTTTTTTAAATGCTGCGAATGTATACTATCTTTCCAACAGACATATAAACACTCTTTCTCTCACAATTCATAAGCGCGAAGAGGAGAATGGCATTTTCACCCATACAAAACACTATGTAACGAATTTTAGGCTATTCATTGTAGGTTATAAATACACTGGTGTCTAGGATAACATGATGATGTTCTGAAGAACTTTGCGCACTCTCTGCACCTATATGGACGTTCTTCTGTATGTATACGTTCATGGTCACGTAGTTAGGATGACTGTGTGATTGACGTTACAAAAGTCTAGCACGTAAAAGGTCTTTATTCAGAATGGATACGTTCATGTCTGCGTAAACTACATGATTGAGTGAACGACGTGCCACATGTGTTACACTTGTGCGGTCTCTCTCCAGTGTGAGTACGTTGATGACGACGTAGATTGCCTGACTGAGTGAAAGACTTCCCGCATACATCACACTTGAATGGTCGATCTCCAGTATGAACACGTTCATGCTGGGATAGTTTAGAATCTTTCTTGAACTCCTTATGGCAATAATGACACTTCCGTATTGCTTTACACTTAGAACGCTTGTCTGAATCCTGATTACAAGTTGTAACTTTAGAAGAGTCAGCATTTTGTCCGATAGGACGCCTGAGTTCAACTGGCATGCCAAACACATCAGGTTGCTCCCATGTTTCAGGGGTCATTCCAGCAGAAACGCCAGTATATGACGCTGTGGCAGAAGTTGAAACGTCCATTTCAAACTTAAGAGGTGGAATCACATGCGATGCACGTTTCTCATACCCGCTGAACGTTGAAGTCCAGTTCACCACGTCTTCCATTTCAGGCTGTGTACTAGACGTTGCTTCATCCCTTTCAATCTTTTCGGCGGTTCGAAATGTCTGTTCGAAAACTGGCTGACGTTTAGAAATGCTGGATGAATGAATTGTGTTCCTCGTCCATTTTATCAATGGCGTAGGAGAAACAGGAATTATGCTACTGGTGCACTCACGGGGTATATTACTCGTGTCCTCCCTGTTTTCCAGCGAAGCGGATCTCATACACGACGCTTTCTCTGTGTTTTCTTCGCCAATGTTTGACCACGAAGATGGTGGAACGGACGATGGACCATGTTCTCTAGAGGTTTGGTCAAGCTTATTCCTTTTCGACTTCATCAATGGCGGCATTTGTGGTAGGTCATTAGACTCCAGATAACAGTCAGACTTCGACTCCTCAAAGTCTTCCATTTCTCACAGAACTGCAACAACTCTCGAAGGAAAATTGAATAACAGAGCCAATATTACTCGTAACCACTTCGCGCAGTGAAGAAAACTGCGAATGCAAAATGTTTTTGCTCTGTGTACTGTAATATCGTGTTCCAGAGTGCCAAAAGCCATAATAATATTTTGTGGATGACAATGGATTTGAAATAATTCTGGCAGCCGGCAATGCGTGACAATTTTACGTATGCTCTCAACTTCAAGTACATGGCACCTTGATGTCCCCATCTCAAGTTATCGTGGACTTTTGCATCCACTGTCGCACAAAAGAGATGTTATTTGTCAAAGGAGAATCTTGTCGTTTTAAGTGATAAATGAACATTCCTACTTTTCTTTGTCAGTGTCAACAGTACAATTTGTTCTTCAGCACTGAACTGCTGCTTCCACAACAGTTCGCAAAAAACATTTTCGATGAACGACTGTTCGTCGAATCCTGTTCGTCCCAAAGCTATTTCGTTGACTGGCACATTAGGTGACTGTCATTTTCGACGTGTGGACTTTTCGCCGAGTGACAGGCTAGACGAAAGGTATTTTCATCGACAACCTTTGTCGAGGCGTGGGATTTTCGTCGAATGACACGAAATCGACCTCTGACACAAGTAAAATTTATCACTCACCCATAATTCACCATTTTCATGATGAAGAGTGAAAACTGATATTCCTAGAGCACCGTAATCCGGTTTGGAAGCCACTGTGAATAATCCCTTTGTAGTGCGTATCATCGACATCACCATCATCATCATCATTACCTGCTCTCGAGCTAATTAGGCTATTACCTTCAGAATGTTCTACATCAATCCTTAGCGAATGACTTTGTAGGCTGTCCGTGGTGGAAAGGATTTCAAGTGCCTTTGTTATAGGAAGATGTTATCCATAATTATGAATGCTGGATCGGTGGGGAAAGGATACCAGTATTCGTGACCATAGCCTTGCGGCGTCTTTTAAGCTTAAAACCTTTTGACTTGTTGTACAATTGGTCTTTTGCTGAGTAGACGTCACGGAGGGGTGAGCTTTCCTGCGCAGGTATGAGTTTGCACGTGCATGGTGTTTAAACCTTTGGAGTCCATGGTTCGATTTCGAAAACCCCAAAATTATTGTTTATTTCAAGAAAACTCAAAAAGGAGGACGGGGGACATGTCCTCAGTGCTAAAAGACGTGTTCTACTTTCTGCCGGTGTATAGTTCTTGTTAGGTGAGGGCGTAGCTCTCTATTTTTTCAGCCCTTGCAATTTTGCCATTTTCAAGACCATAATTTGGGGCGTCAGGGAGTAATATCCCTCGTCTTCTGGAATGCTTGCGTAGCTACGCTGTGCTGCCCCAGGTCGTCTTCTAAGGTAAGGCAATGTTGGCTTGATGGAGCTTCATTTGTAGCGTGGCTCGCTTGCAGAATCATAAATCGTGTGATGGGTTGACCATTTTGTAGGCGTAAGTCTATTTCAAGGTTCACTTTGGACACCTTTGCAAGAGGTTTGAAGAGTGGATCCACACCCAAGTTAAAGGGGAAGTCCGGTGAAAGATTTAAATTTCACAGTCCGTAGACTTCGAGTCGCTGAGTCGAATGGTCTTTGTCCGAGAAGGCTGTGGCCACCGGTTCGTCAGATACGCCCAATCGAACATCTGCGAATTTGAGCGCGCATCAACTAGATCCAGGTGATGACGTCACAGCGTGCAGCCAGGTAGCCACACCATCTAGTTGTGTACAAAATGGCCATATTTGGAGCGCGTTAGATTGGGGAACCGTATGTCGCAGCTTCTTCGGACCAAGACCATTCGATTCAGTGTTACAAACACTACGTACCCTGTGATGTTCAGCTCGGTAAATCTCGATATTAAACCGTTTTTCAGCCGTTTCCGAGTTGGACTTTTCCGTCGGCAGGCACTGGCCTCTACGGACCTCTACTACTACTAGTACTAGTACTAGGCTCTAGCAATGCGCTGCGTGATAGTGTAGTCAACAAACTAATACTTACTCATCACACACGAACTACTCCCGCACTGCCTTGCTGGGAAGCTTATTTTAACATTCAAGACTCAGAAAACTAGCCAACACACGGACTTGTCATGTACTACACTCGTATCAGTCGTGTAGTCAGAGAACGCGCGTTTCTCCTTGCCGGTACCGGTGGTTGTGCTTTGAGAAAGAACATTTTAGTTTTCCGCTTCCGCCTCATTATGTTATGCTACAGCGATGAGTGCACTACCGTGACAAGTGACAAAACAGCAAACAGCTCGCGGATGTAGAAATTTCAGATTCCGTAGCGTTGTGAGCGAAGAGTCGTGCCCGTGGTTCAAAGAGCCTGCACTGTTCTCCAATTGAGTAGTCCGAATATGCCAAGTTCACACCAAAACATCACCATGTAGCAGGCTACTGGAGTCTAAGCGAATCGGTATGGAACAACATTTTAGAGCACTCGCATCACTCTTCTCCATTTTGGCGACTCTGCTCTCCAGCGATCTGATAATTATATCAGCCTCGTCTGCAATAGCTGCTGCTTCTTCATCAGTCGGAAACTCAGCAGCGCTCATTCACTCCCTTGTCACTGGACAGTTCTGTCCGTTTGGTTTTAGCGAAATCAAATAAAGAAAACACAACACACACAACACACGCTCACTCGTGACCGGCCCGCGCGGCCATTTCTTCAGCTGAATACCGAGGTTCTCAGCCCCAGACCGAACTCATGAAGGTCAGCCATGGCTGCATCCTCACTCTCTCAAGGAGTTACGTCTTCGGGGTCGCTTGCACCACCTAATATCGGTCGCTAAATCACTGACACTGTACGTCCACATGCACCAACACACATTTCGCCATTCCAGGCTATGATGGGATGGCAACCACGCAAGTTACTAGTTGAAAACGTACAGTGTGAGAAGTCTGGTAGTACTTGGGCTGATTACATTGAAGCTGCAGCTGCACGAATTCGTGATTATCTTGAGCTTGAATTGTCGACTACTGATTTTGTTGAAGATGTCACTAATAATCCTTATGTTATTGGCGACTGTGTCATGCTGCGTAGGTCTGCCCGCAGGCAAAAGTGTACTTCTCCTTATGAGCCAGGCTGGAAAGTTGAATCTGTTATTTCCCCCAGCACAGTTGCTATTATGTACACTGCTGACAATAGGCGACACTCGAAGCGTGTGAACGTAGACTTGCTGAAGCTGGACCCTGGTGAGTCACTGGAAGAGTCTCCAGATACCTCTGATGTTGACGATCTCCCTGATGATGATAACCTGGCTGTTGTGTTCGATTCGTCTATCAGTGAACCTGCTCGCTATGGTCCGCATGACCGACACTAGCTACGGCAGCCTGCACGGTACACTTGACTATTGTGCTTACAGTTTCCAGATTGCCTGTTTCTGCTTGATTTGCAATTGGGTCCTTTATTGTTTTTTGTTTGTTTGTATTTGGTTTGTTTTTGCCTTATGTCACCAGGGGGGGGGGGGGCGTGTAGTAGTAGTGACAAAGCATGCTGGCACTCAGTGAGGCCTTGATAGAAGTTACTGCTAATTCATTGACCTTTGGAATGACTGACTGTTGCTGGTTCGAATCCCACAATTGCATGTGTAACCTTTTTGTGTCTTTTCCCATTTATGCCAATGATGTAATCATTACTCATTGTAGTAGATAGAGTAGTCACATGAGCTTCTCTGATTGGCTGTTGCTAGGCGCCAGTGCCTGGCCCTGGTATAAAGACAGTGGTTTCTCCTCATTTCACTCTCTTTCTCTTCGGTCCTGATGGCGTCGTGAGCTGCTGCTGGCTTCTGTTCAAGTACTGTAACAATGACCCTCTCTTCCCTCTTCTTCTATTCCTCCATTGTTGTATGAAACTATGTATCACATCAAGAAAGAGTGTCTTGTTGTAGATGTGCGAGTGCTTTGTGGGCGCTAGAGTTTGAGCTGGTAACGATTCAGTAACAAAATGCATGTTCTTGCTGTCTCAAGCTGTCAACAGATATAGCTTTAATATGCATCAACTGTTGCACAAACCAATGTTGGTTTGCCAAAGGAAAATCTTGTGGTTTTACAAATAAGTGTTAAATGAACATTACTATCAATTTTTTCATTGTCAATGTCGTGACCAACATAACACTATGTTTTGAAGCGCTGAACTGTTATTCTGATTCTGACACAGGTGAAGGATCGATCACTCACCAAAAAATTCACTATTTCAGAATGAAGAGTAAAATACTGATACTCCGAGGGCAACGTAATCTGGTTTGGAAGCCACTGTGAATATATCCTGTAGTAGTGCGCATCCAATGCGTGCTATAACTGATTGCCAGGTTCTCGTAGCACGTAAGTGTCCCTGGACCGTATCGTGCAATGTTATCTCCAGAGATGATTAACAAATAGCTTGTGATGCTAGTGGACATTATGGCGTTACGTATGGCATTGCGTTGGTTCGCAGACTACCTTACTGGGAGAACCCAGCAGGTCGTTGTCGGCGATGCCCGAGGCAGTACAGAGCCCTGCTCACGTGGTGTACCACAAGGCTCCGTGTTAGGCCCCTTACTTTTCTGCATGTATATCCGGCGTACCCCCCAGAAATTTCAACATTGCCGTGCTCTCCTGTTTGCGGACGACATCGCGTTCTACGTCACTGGTCGCAAGGCTTCAACCGTGCTCAGAATGCTGCAGACAGATCTCTTGAATCTGGAGGACTTCCTCAGCGAGCGGGGACTGGTGCTGAATCCCAAAAAGTCTCAGCTACTGCTGCTCAGACGACCTACTGCGCAACTGGACGTGATCCCCAGCATCACCTGCAAAGGCACCGTAATCCCCGAGTCCAGCCATGTTCTGTACCTTGGCCTCCTATTGGACTCGTCGCTCAGCTTCGAGCAGCAGGTTGAGCGTGTGTGCGCAAAGGCACAGTGCAAGGTTGCCTCATTCCGCCACGGGCGCCGCGATGTCTCCATGATCGGCCGCCGCATGTTTTACCTGACAATTGTCCAGAGTACCTTGGACTATGCCAGCACATGTTATGTTCACTGCTTGTCTGCTAAACTCAGAGACAAACTTGAGTCAACCAGCAATAGGTGCCTAAGGCGAGTGTTTGGCCATGATCAGTATACTTCTATCGATTTCATTCTCACCAAATATAACCTGTATACTTTCTCTCGCCGTGTAAACTTGAAGCTGTTTGTGTTTGTTTTTAGGTGTCTATCTCATTGCACCAGTCCTCTTTTAAGCACGATATTTACCCCCCGCTCTGCATCATGCCGCACAAGTGCTGCTACCCGCGGTCAAGCTTCAGCCGCTCTGAACCTACCCAGAGCTACGTCTCGTTACGGCCTGAATGCTATTTCATTTTTGGCAGCAGACAGATGGAACATGCTTCCACCTGGATGTCGTCAAGCTAAGCCCCTTTCTGCATTTGTCACAAGCACCAAGTCATTCCTAGGGTTCCCAGTAAAAAGGCAACGCCTGTTGGGAGTTCCCTAGTAAAATAATAAATTCTTCTACTACTACTACTACTACTACACGTGAATGGTCCCTCTCCGATATGATGCGGACGTCAACTCCATAGGGTAAACGGTGAACCTGACATTTGTGCCATTACTTGTACCTTTAAAAGCTGATCTTTATCATGGCATGAGTATTCCTCCACGGTTTGCATGTCAGGGAAGGGTGAACCGGACGATTGCTCACACTCTCCCACGATGTCACTCATTGATTTGAGCAAACGGGGCATTGGTGGTTGATCATCGAAACCCACACTACACTCAGCCGAACTCTCTTTATGGCCTCACAGTCTTCATTCATTCAAACCTGTAAGAGCAATTCTAGTTGATCAGGAATTGTTACTCGTCAATGAGACTTTCGACATTCTTTTTCCGTGGTTCTTCAGTGTTAGAAATGGCCACAGCAGTGCATTGCATTGCATTTCAATTTTATCTTTTTACTTAGGAATTCCAATGGGCGGAAGGTGCCCCCGTGGTGAGAAGTAAATAGATGTAGATGGTACAGGTGGCTGCAGCCAAAGCTTTTGGCGGATAGTTGCCGGCCGAAATGTGTTTGGTTACTGACGTGGATAAAGAAATGAGACCAGAATTCAATTACTAGTAAGCGCCTGCCATGAGGGTTGTACGGTTCTGCCATGGGCTAGTCGAAGCTGCCACTACAGCCACCTCTACCATGCTGTCTCGTATTACAATGTAGCTTACACTGACGGGTTGATGTGTTAGCGTCGATGGACAAACAGGCATATTTGCCTCACTACGTGATCTCCAAGAAGGTACAACACAAGAAAGAAAAGGGAGGAGGAAAAAATTATTACTGAAGTCGATACCCTGAAAACGGGTTTATGTGAAATCTCTGATTTATGATTAGGCTGGTAAAGAGCGTATAATAATGTGAAGTTGTTTTGCCGTAGGAAGTGGATAATAGTATTTAAACAATATTAAGCAGCAGTTTTAGGCCTTGTACATATTGTATTCTCCATCAAACACCGCTTCTCTTGGCTTCGCGTAAAAGCGAAAGACAACTGCACCTTGGATTGATCAAGTTCTACTGTCCAGCGCACGGCAAATGCAACAAGCAGACTAAGCAGACACAGATGTGGTGAGAAGACGCCGTTTGCACTTTTCAAACAAGGCTCGCAACACACAGTGTCACACCAACGCGCACGCTTGCAGGGCGCACGCACACGCACGCACACACAAACACACTCACACACACACGCGCGCATGCGCATGCATCATGTTGTCAAGATGCAAATTTGTGGCTGATACATTCGGAGGTACTGTTCATTCGGAATAGATTTGAGGCCCTACAACACTGGTAGGATGGTCCGTGGACCTGGCCTCTTCTCATTGCTTCTCAGCTGACTATGGATCCTTTTTGCGAACGGGTACGCATTGGATGGGAACGGGCCGGCATTAGATTTGAGTTGGCAGGGGACGCCTGCGAATTTGCTTGTTGTGAAGGCGTCGCCACACGCTCTTCGGCGTGTTGAGCCTTTTCTTGATCAGCGGACTGAGCATGTACCAATCTGCAAAAGTGGAAGTTACATTAGAAATGCATGCAGTTCAGAGCACTCAGTTATATTATTGTTGTCCTCGAAGTAGCTACTATTAGAGAACTCAGAAGTAGCGACAAACTAACTCGGCCATTTGAAAATAATTTGAACCGTCCACCTCTCCACACTGCCCTCTTGGCCCACAGTCACACCGCCACACCATAGCGTGGAGGCTCGTTCTTCGGTAGATGTTCCATATCCTCCAGACAGCTGTTTCGCTCATTTCGAAAGAGCGCCTCAGTGGACGTAGATAGCGAATGAATAGCAGATAAAGCAATGAGTATATTCGTAGGGTAAAGTGGCGCAATTGAGCACTTTCTACATAGAAAAGTGGCATACCCAACCAAAGAAGTTGAGGGTGACAAAAGTTCTAAAGGTGATACTGATTACGAAACGCACAGTGCTGCTGGAACATGCATGCAGATGGCGCTAGAATTTGGACAAGCACGTGGAGCACACAATCTGTTAGAAGTTCGCACTAACATTGCAACACATACATGCATAATGACAGTTCGAAGTGACGGTCCCATACTTTATCTTTGGGTCATAGTGAAGTGACGAAGAATGATGACGCTTGTCTAAGTTCTAGCGCCATCTGTATGCATCTGTATTGCAGCCCTACACCTGCAAAAACTGGGATGTTCACTAGCCGAGGGTGCAAAGCCGATCGCATTTTCATTGAGAAGCAGTTCACATGCATGCATGCACGATTGTGTCTTCACCCGTTCACCCGTTGTGTTGCAAAAAGAAAAGAAAACAGAAAACAGCCCTTGATCTCACAAAGTCACGGCTAAGCGCTTCTCATGCCGAAAAACATCTTCCACTAACCTAGCCATAGTGCGCTGCACGGCAGACATCAGGTTGCACAGCGCCCAGTGAAGAGAATTAGCAACTGTTGCAGCAGTATCCATAGCCGCGATGACTACCGGCAGTCTGTCTAGCGGAGAACTCCGTTTCAATATTGGCCGTCTACCGACTATGCTCTAAAATACTTTTACAGTAGCAAGACCTGTCTGGGGGCGCAAAGAGTGAACAATCGAGTTGATGCACACATGTACACACATACAGCGACCTACTAGTAGTAGTAGCACACCATCTGGGGTAATTCAGGTAATAATAAAAAGGCCAAGGACTCGGGCAATGTACTAACAGTTTTGGGATAGACCTTATGCACTTCTATTAACATCCAACCAACCTGAAATAGCCTTGAACTGAAGTGAAGAAGAGAAAAAAATGATCATCACGCTTTTCTGGCCGTGACAGCTACAGGTCAACGGATAGGCTGGTGCGTGCGTGCATGCGTGGGAGTCGCAGCACACAGACACTAGCGATAATAGTCATTGCCCAGTGCTGGCAACTGAAATCCGACCCCCTGTCCCCATGAGCTCACATCGCAAAGAATGTGAACCCACCGCTCAGGGGGTCGGATTTCAGTTGCCAGCACTGTGTAGCTACGCAGTTTGCCAGTAGATCTGCATGTACGTGTAGTAGATCTGCCAAGTGACCATCACCCCCCCCCCCCCCCCCCGCTTACGTGAACGTGCGCCTTTGATACACATGTGCACACTAGAACTAACAAGACAGCAAAAGCCACCAAGTCATCATGGTACTACTACTAGAGTACTACTACTAGTGGTACATTATACACGTACTGGATGGAATAGGGTTGAACGTGATAATAGCTTAGGACATGTCACATGACAATCACCATGGTAGAAGCCAATCACGATGCATTTAGCAGGGCACGTATAGCGTGCTCTTTGCCCTGAGATAGTGAGAAGCGCTCGCCGAGCAGATATTCGCGATATCTACCCTCCAAGGACTAAGGAGGGCAGCATGCAGCGCAGATATTGTACATGTGACATAACTAGACCAAAAAAATAGATCCGCTGGGTGCATCTCATAACTGCAACCAAAACATTCGTACTCAAGCGCGACCAGCGCATACATACCCGACGAGCGAAGCTCGTCGGGTATGTATGCGCTGGTCTTGCCTTCATACTTTTGATTGATTCCATTCATAGCCATTGTCACGAACTGAATTTTAAACAATTTGCGTATTGGGAGCAAAGTGGTGGTGAGGCCTTTTGCCATCCGGCGACCTGAGGTCTCGCCGTCATGGGGACATAAAACGAACTGAAAAGGACGGGTTCGGATAATCACTGCTTCACCGTAATTTCACCAAGAGAACAGAACTTCTCAGACCTTTATCCTGCTTTCAAAATATTCGCATTGCTTACACGTTCACAAGCGTCTGCCTGTCGTTCACATTTCCTAGCCAGAAGAGTGCAGCTGAGCAAAGCAAGCCTGCATTCTACGTATAATGTATGTTACTGTCATGGACAGCATCCGTTTGTTTCCTGTCTTCACCCATATCAAGGATTTTCGGCCTTTGACCACTTTGGCAGTGGGTCTGATCTACACACTTGGGGCTCCCCGGTCCAAATTGTGTACTGCACTTGCCTGCGAACCGAGAGGTCGCGGGTGCGAGCCCCACGGTGGCACATCTGACTACAAATCCCCATGACGCAGCTTACCAGATCAAGGTGTGGGTCCTCTTCACTCAGTGGAGACAGAGTTGATCGAGCTGTATTCCCGGTAGGCACCGGCGGATTATGCCGGCAGAAAAATTGACAGAATTCGGTACTTTTTCTGGTAATTTTTATGCATGTTTGGTATGTGGATAAAGAAAGCGCGCATAAAGAAATGGAGCAGAATTCGAGGAATTGCCCCCCATAAGGTTTGTATGATTCTGCCAATTTTACTGCTTTTCGAGCAGAATCTGCCACCTTTTCGAGCAGAATTTGCCAGTGCCTAATTCCCGGTGGCGAAAGGCGGGCTCACCACCCCTCTATGGCAACTTGAGTAGTTAGTGCGGGGCAGGTTCTGGCACACTTTTTGACCTTTGACCTTTGGGCCAAATAAGGCACACTGTGTCGGTCGTGCTTGGTCTGGCCCCGGGACTCCCCCAGGGTTTGACCTTTGACCTTTGGGTTAAATAAGGCACACTGTATCGGGCGCGTTTGGTCTGGCCCCGGGACTCCCCAGAGTTTGACCTTTGACCCCTGGCATGCCATAAATGTGCCATAAAGGTTCTTTTCCGTGGCGAACGTGCACTTGTGCACGTTCGGTGCATTCGCACCGGGGAGTAGTAAAATACGTACTATTCCCTGATTTGCACATCGTAGATGTGCATTGCATGCAGTGACATATTGCGCATGCGTGCATATGCACGCGGAGCGTGTGACCTTCAGTGGTCCTATGCGTGTGGAAAAGACGCAGTGCAACACAAGGTGTACTAGTACACGTGTCATTATACTACTCCCTGATTCGCACTTCGTAGATGTGCAGCAAACAAGTTCACGTTCCTTGCATTCGTTTTATTCGCACATCGTAGATGTGCACTGATTGACAAGTTGCCCATGCAGAGCATACCTAATCGGCTTTTCGATCGAGAATGTTCAAATTCGGCCATATTATGAGCTCCAAGATCAGAATTCGGCTCAACATAGTACTTGAAGTCACCGCTCCCATTACGTCATGTACATTTACATACACCCTGTTGAAGCACTGAAGCATCGGTTTTCGGGGAATTCAACATGCGAATTGTTGAAAATTCGGCGAAAAGATGGGTAATTTCTTCAAAACCACTGTTTTCGGCGAATTTTTCGCCCGGCCGATTAGGGAAATGCCTACTGTCCATGCAGGTCCATTAGATGCAAATTTCTATTTTGATCAGGATACAGTTAGAATCAACCGGCTACGCCCGGAGTATCATGCATTAAAACAATTATTGAAGGGGTGTCACAGTGAAGCAGTGTTGCTACGCACCACAAATCCCCTCTGCACTGCATCGAATCTATACTGGAGAATCCAGAGTGACCAGCAAAGAGTCACAACCCGCGGGTATCCAGTCACACCAAGGCATATCCACCATTCCCCACATATTAACTGTAACAAAACACAATACTGTTCACTATAATACACTTTTATTTAAATGGACTTGGATGAGTCTGTAGAAGAGAACACAATGCACGCACACGCACGCATGCGCGGACACACACACACACACACACACACACGCGCGCGCACACACATCTAGGTTATAGTGCTATACACGTATCTAGGATTTAGGAAGCACGAGAATATGTCGAAGCACCCACACATATCCCTTCATGCAGTGTACTTCAGTAGCCCAACACATTACGACCGCTATAGCACAGGACCATCACAAAACACATTACGACTGCTATAGCACAGGACCATCACAAAACACTACACACTGTTACTACACTGCATACACAGTTACTACACTACGCCTGTTACAAGTACTTACAAATAATTTTGAAAACAAATGGCACATCCCGAAGACGGCAGCTAGCTCCAGACCTTCATACATCATCATCATCTGTAAAACCAAGCATGAGCGCACACAAACACTATTAGTGTCACGAATACGGAAGCAGGGTAAGACAAGAGGATACGAAACAAGTAAGTATCGCTATAACGAGGGGGATAAGTATACATGTAGACAGAGCAGTGCTTACTTACAGGGTCCGGATACGCTCCATGGCGTCCCGGTAGTCGGACTGCAACAGCAGCCCGACCTGCCGGCCCTCCCAGTAACGGGTTCGATGGGCCGCACCCGCCAGGTGTGCGGCCACGGCCTGGCCTCCCACCAGCCTTTCTCCACTGTAAAAACGAAAGAAACCGCAGAAAGCACAGTGTCATAGAGCTCTTTTGTTGGGGGAGAGAGCTAGGAGCACTGCACACTTACCATTTGTCACAATATATTATAAGAAAGAGGCGGCGCTTGACGCACCGCCTCAGGTGCTGAAACAGGGGTATAACCCCTGTAAGTTCCACACCGCAGTGACATGTGAAAGCCATACTCACCATGCGCCGTAAGAAAGCCAATTACTTTCAGGCCGAGTTCATCAACAACAGACGGAACCCTAGACGTCAGTGGAGCGCTATGAACAGCCTACTTGGCAGAACGAAAGTCAGCCGTGAGCCTGGAGCTAGTATTGCAGACATTACATCTGTATTCTCAGAAATAGTTGGACCTTTGCCGCCAACAGAGACTTCTGACGCCCTGACGCTGGCATCCGTGCCTGATCAACCATCCAACATTCTACCTGGTCTGCCGTGTGGCCCCCAGTCAGACGGCACTCTAGTTTCTTTTACCCGAATCACAGCGGAGGACGTTAAGTTCCATCTCCGTGCTATGGACAGTCGCAAAGCAAGCGGTCCTGACGCCATCCCCCCGCTCGTTTACAAACTTGTGCCTGATCAAATTGCACCAATGCTTGCCTCTCTCTTGTCGTTATCCCTCGAAACTGGAGAATTCCCAACGCCCTACAAGCTAGCACATGTCCGTCCGATCCACAAACGTGGGGACGCTTCCGACCCTCGCAACTACAGACCCATCTCCCTCCTTCCTCTCATGTCCAAACTTCTCGAGAGGTGTGCGCTAGAGCAACTTACGCAATACATGGATAGCGCCAGTCACATGGAATCCCTCCCTGCAGTTCAGTTTGCGTACCGCAAAAACCACTCCTGCGACGATCTTCTCGCTCTGGTGGCAAATGATTGGAGTCAAAGTCTAGACCAGAACGAGTATGTAGCTGCAGCTTTCCTCGACATGTCCAAAGCCTTCGACACTGTCAACCACAGTTTGCTCCTCCAAGAACTGTTCGAGATTGGTGTGGGAGGGGTCGCACTGCGTTGGTTCGCATCATACCTTACTGACCGGCAGCAGAGAGTTGTCACCAAGTCTAGCAGAGGTGCCTGTTATTCTGCCTCCAGAGGTGTACCTCAAGGATCTATCCTTGGACCTGTCTTGTTCAATCTTGCTGTCCGCAAACTGCCAGAGTGTGTTGCTAGTACCAAGGTCCGTCAGTTTGCTGACGACGTTTCTGTCTACAAATCCGGAAGGGATCCACAGAAGCTCACTGCAGACTTGGCCAGAGACGTTCTGTCAATCCGCAACTTCCTCCGGGACCACGGCCTTAAACTCAACGCGGAAAAGACACAGTTCATCATATTCCGCCCAAAGTCCAAGGCGGTCCCAGCTAATCTCCAATTGTCAATTGACAGCACTAGCATTCCGCCTTCAGCCACCATCAAATACCTTGGCCTCCTGTTCGATGAGCATCTTACGTACCGAGATCACATCACGCTCCTGGAACGCAAGATAGGCGCT